CTAATTTTGAAAATTATCAAGTTTCAATAATTTTTTTAATAAAGAAAATGATAGTCTAGAAACTTAAAATAATAGCTACGCTTTCTATAAGTATAAGTATACTTAATACCTGAAAAAAGCAACTTTCTAGAATAGGCACAGGAGCCAGACAAAAATCATAAAAATTGGCAAATTATTACAAATCTTTAGTGGTTTACCATTCTTTAATAAGATGAACTAATTAGTTAATAATTAATACTTACTAGGCAGTAAAATAAAATTACAATCATTTCAATAATTGCCACAGAAAAAAAGTTTTAGCCTCTTATAAGAGAGTAAGAAAATGACACGATTTCAGGTTTCTAAAGGGTACTGATTAAAAATAAAGCAACTAAAAATTAAAACGGCAACGGTTTTTTATATATGATACCTAAAAGATCATTCTCAAATTTTTTCATTAAAATAAAAAAACATGCAGCGTACTTTTAAATTCATTTTTGGTGTTTTCATATAGCCAACCTATAAAATCAAAATTTTGGATGGGGGAAAGTACCTCATTACTGCACTGAAAGCGGTGTTACAATGAAGTCATTATGAACGCAAGGTAGATAAAAAGTTATAACAAAATCAAAAATAAAATGTATTAATGCTAATTGTGTGTAAAAAAAACAAATATGCAGAACATTAATTTGCAGTTTTATTTATAATTTAAATTGATATTGGCATTCATTTGCATGTTATACAGGGTGATACACATTATAACTCCTTATTTGTACAAATTTAAAAACTTTATTTTTTTTTTGTTTATGATTTTGGGTTTATACGCGGCGACTTTATTTCAAGCAAACAGGTTTATTTCAGGTTAATTTAGTAAAGTTTAAAAATAGCATCAAAATTTTATTCAAGTTGGCGCTTTATTCTCTCGTATGCCCATTGAATGGAGTATGATTATTTGAGTTGCGAAAAACAATGAACAATAAACAGCGAAATCCAAAACGGCCTACTGCGATACCTCCGCGTCGCACACTGGTCAATGGGCGGAAAAATACATTTTTAATAAATTTTTAATTTTGGTAATTTTCTGACGTCAATTTGTTAAAAACACCTTAAACCATTTAATGGTTTTAGTAAAAAAAAATATTTCTGTTTTAATTTTTTGAACTCTTAAATTATAATGTTTTAAAACCCACTATAAAAAATTTGTTTTTTTAATATGTTTAAAGTAACTATTTATATAAAAATTATAGCAATTTTATTGGTAAATTACAACCGATGTAACCATTGTATTTTGATGTTGGGGAGTTTTTCTAATATTTTTATATGGGTGATTCTACAAAAGTTGGACAACTTGATGACATCAGTCAATAAAGTAGGAATTTTAATATTTTTTGTATATTTAGTATATTACAAAAGATCCAGGTTTTTTTTAACTTGTACACCCAATTTTAATGTATTTTTTCAAAAGCACGTTTGTAGAAAAACATAATAAATATTCAAAACATCAGTACTTTGGCGTGTCACTACTCCTGAATCAAATATTTGAGTGATTTTATTTTAAAATATAATCAATTTAACTTAAATTTTTCAATTTCACTACAAACTATAAAACATTAAATAATGTATTTTTCATATTTTATCATAGATTTGAATTATAGCAATTTTTAAAAAATTGATAATCTTTGTACTCACTTTTACCCGTCAGTTCTATGTCCAATGTTAATTCAAAATTCCTGCGAAATATTGAAGTTTTAACTCAAGTGTTGGTAAAAAATTACCTACAGAGCCCGCCCTTTGCACGACAGTCATCTTGAAAACAATGCAAGCGGCGAAGTTGTGGTGAATGCACGTATAGTTCCAGTCAAATTTTCAGTACTGTGGTCAGTAGTTATTTTTTTACGTATTGTAATTTATATAAGGCTATATGTGATTTATTGATAAGTAGCATCCACTAATAAAAAATATCAGTAAAATACTTCATTCCGAATTATAATCTCAAATTTGTATCCCATTCATCAGTACCGTGACGTCAGTTCCATGTTCCATGTTTCGGTTATCTTTTTTTCGCAAACTTTAATTTAAATTCTGCTTACGCAGAACTTGTTTATTTAATGACATTATAAACTCGTATAAATTTGGTTTGGGTCCCATATCTAATAATTGAGATATCGGTATACCCAAAATCCACCAGCCGCTACTGATGTGTGGGATTATTTGATTTTAAGATATTTAATGTATAATATGCTCAAAGTTGCAATAAATCTTATATTTTCCAATAAATTATGTATTTAATTAGTACCCTGGTATACTCGTCACTTCCCTTGCATTCAAATTTAAAAAACACAGATATTTCAGAAACTGTTTAAAAAAGTGACTGGCCCGGTCTGGAACAGTATATTTATTATATTATCTATGTTCTCATAAAAAAATACTGTTTAATTTTCTCCGAAAAGTATATAAACAAAATGAGGTCAAAAGTTGGAGAAAAACAAAATGCCTAAAACACAAACCCGACGAAGAAGTTAAAAAATTATTGGTAGATTAAATGTCAATATTTTATTGAATATTCTGATAACTATTGATATTAATTTTTAAACTTTTTTTTAATCTTGTATCATTATATAACTATTTTATTATTTGACTTTATAAAACCCCGGCGAAAAATACAAAAACATATTAAAAAAAAAATTATTAATTAAAATAAGTCTTAAAATAAAAAAATAAATATTTATTTGTAATAAAAAAGTTTTGAATTATTTCCACCGGACAGTGATTTTGGCCATCTCAAAACGAATTACAAAATTAAAAGGTTAATTTTTTTATTAAAATAAACTAAATTATACGTAATTAGTCAGCAAAGAAAAAAATAAATATTTATTTGTAATAATTTTATTTTTGGTTTTGACCATTGTGCGCCGTACAGGTGCATAATTTATGGGCATGGTCGATGTCGGCAGAAATTCCATATCCAAATGAAATCTCGCTCTTAATGTGACAGATATTGTCAAGACGTTTAACACGTACAACTACTGATATACGATTTAATACAATGTGAATGAGCCTTACACCTTACGTCAACTTATATTAAAAACATAAATTTTACAGGTGAACTTGTACACCCGAATGTTTCGATTTTTGATTAAAACTTCGCCGTTAACGGTAAAGCTTGTCAAATTTAATGGAAACAAATTTTAGTTATAGTTAAAAAACCCCAAGCTGCTTAAAAAAATCCAAATCTTAAAACCCTAAAAAATAATTTGCTAGTTTTGCAGCTTCCTCCTTATAAATCTATGAGGATCATTTTCAAGAAACACCCGCTTTCAGGAAAATGAAGATCAAAATTTTTTTTGCTTAAATTGACTTTTGGTTGGATTTTTATAAATGTTTAGAGTTTTGTTTACTTACATTTAAGACAGGCAGTGCACTTTTTAATTTTTTTACGTTTTTTTCAGAAAAATGTGTTTAGCTAGCTTTAAATATCTCCACTGTGTTACCAATTTGAAATCCAAAATTTAATTTAATAAAAAAGTTGTTATCAAATAATTTGAAATAAAATGTACTTAGTTCACAAACTTTTTACTCCAATTTTTTATTTTATTTTTTATTAAAAATTGTATGCTTTTTTTAAATATGTTACTTTTTAAAAGAAACCATTCCGATTCTTTGTTAAAAAAAACAATACCATTAATATTTCTTTTAGTCACTGTATTAGTGTTAAACTCTAATTTATAAACACGTATTACCAAGTGATAGTGTATAAAAATCATTTTAAGTATTTTTTTTAACAAAAAAAAGTAACGAAATAGACATTGGTACCCCAACGGACAAGGGACTTAATCAGATAACGTAAAAAAGAAACTATAAAGTGTGGTATGATTTTAGAGTAATGCATAAACAAAATCCTTTGTAGTGGGGCTCACTTGCAGAATAACAACTTAGATTTCTAAATTGTAGACACCCTTTTTCTTTGACTATAAGCTGGTGAAGGTCCCTTTTAGTACTTGTATATTGCGTGGAATTTTCCCTTGGATGTAATCTATATCATGAGTTGTAATCACAAATAATTTTAAATTGGTTTATCATAAACTACTTTTAATAAAAGCGAAGGTAAATATCCACTTTGTTGTTGAAAAATTCTATTGCGTTACCCTAAATTCCATTGCGTTACCATAAGGTAACATAATGGACTCGGTAACGCAGTGGAAAAAGTTTTGTGAAACCATATTTAAAAAATAATAATAAGACATTACAGACATTAATACCTCTCAATGAGCTTTAGTGCCCTAAAATAAACATAAACATGAAAAATAGTATTTTTTCTTACCTTATTTTTTATATTTTTTTGAGTAACTTTGCGGCCAAACAATTATTACATTGGCGTTACTCGCACCTGTTTCAACCGATATTTTTTTCCTGATTGAATAAATAAATTCAGCTGGGTAATGTTAACGTCCGAACATCATTTGTTGATCACGTGAGTGCCAAAAAAGTTGCCATATATTTTATCGGTAACGCGACGGACGTAACGCAACGGAAAAAATGTCTGGGACATGAGTCAAATTTAAAAAAGTAGATTAAAATTAATTATTTTATATATAAATTATTTACTGTATTAACTAAGGATGTTATGGATTGCTATAAAGCAACACAAAGTTCTGGTTATTTAATATTAAAAAAAAACATATATGTAAGTTTTATAAAACGCTAATGGGACATGCGAAAATGTTTGTTTCACAAGTTTCAAAATTAAAAAAAAATTATTATGAAGTAACTAAACAAACATTTTCTGAAAGAGTTTACTAAGGGCTTGTTAGGCTTTCACTTGGTTGTCAAATCAATAAGATCCGATAATTTTTAACAAAGTTATTGGAATTCAAACTTACGGACCGCGGAAGGCGGGTTTTTTTAAAAACGACCCATGAACAAACGCATTTTTCATCATAAATAACTAAAAACGAGTACATGTATTGGAAAACTCTTTAATATTGGTCTACCCTTCTCTAATGTTCCTATTTTATTTTCAGGAGAGCATCCAGCTGCAATGCACCACGGTCACGGCCACCTAACAAGATTATCTCACGTCACCCTTCTTCTGAGTTTAGTGTTTATACTTCTGCTTCGTGCTCCCACGTAACGTTAAAACCAAAAGGTGTAAATTCGCCTGAATAAAATTTGTGATGATTTAGTAGTTATGTTAAATAATTTAATAAATGCTATACAGGGTCGATTCAATTTTATATTATTGTTTCAACAAGAACGGTATCTTTTAGCCTATCAACCCCATACCATGGGTCAGCACCAAAGACAGTTATGGCAGGTTTTTGTACTATGCTCCACACCTCAAAGTCCCACCACGTGACCACGTACGGAACGCAGTCTTTTGAAAATTTGGCATTTAAGTCTTTTCAGGTTATGTATCTGTCAAAGTATAGTCAATGAAAGAAATAATATTTATAGTGAATATAAATACTGCATTTAATGAAATTCCAAAGTGTAAGGTGCAATATAAGTGATATTTTTGTGCATAAAATAGCATTTATTAAAAAAAATCTAACTTTTCTGTTATGAAATAAGAATATCTGTATTAAAATATCATCTAATTTTGTATTTTAAGGTTAGAAAAATCTATTTTGACCAAAATAAATAAGTGGATTATTTGGAAGAGTGTGTTAATATGGTCATAAATAAATATGGGTATACTAAATAATTGTTGAATATGGTTCAAATTAAATTGAAGCTTTTATACTTCTAATGAAAAAACTTGTGCATACCTCTCGGCATACCTACCTAAGTTAGATTATAAGAAAACAAACAATTTTTAGAGAAACTTGCAATGTGAAAATATTTAATCCTCCCATAACATGTGATTTATTAAAATTTTTAAAGTTATAATGATTTTTCGATGTAGATCAAGTTCAGTCGAAGCTTTTTAACTATTTGTATTGACAAAACTTTATGTAGGTACACTTTAAGCTGGATAAGAAAAACTACCACATTTTTAAATACCATATTATACAGTCCTTTAAATAATCCAAAATACTATTTATTTTGGTCAAAATAATTTTTTTTATAATATATTAACCTACCTTTAAAACAGATATTCTTATTCCATAATAGAGAAACTAGATTTTTTTTAATAAATGCTGTTTAGTTAAAATTATTGTATGGAGAAAATCAGATATTTGGACCAAATGCACAAAAATATTACTTTTTTGGCACCATACACTTTAGAATTTCATTAAATGCAGTATTTTTATATTCTTAAATTCTTAAACCATCCATTGTTATTGTAATGTTATAAAGATTTATACATTTTTAACGTCTAAACATAATATTATTTTTTTCGTTGACTATACTTTGACATATACATAACCTGAAAAGCCTTAAATGCCAAATTTTCAAAAGACTGCGTTCCGTACGTGGTCACGTGGTGGGACTTTGAGGTGTGGAACATAGTACAAATCGATGGGTTGGTTTCAAATGTGGCTAACTACAAAGTTTTCAATGTTGAGGTTCTTACATTCTAAAGTCAAAATTAAGTTGCAAAGATATAAAACTTTTTAACTTACATTTAAAGCTGGATTGCAATGTTTGCAGGGTATAGGTACTAAACAGTGTGACGCGATTTCTATTAGAGATTCTCTAACCACTGCAGTTTGTGACAGCCATGCAGAAAAGTTTTCTTTATGCAATGTCAACATTGGTAAACACTGTATTAAGATCATTTTCTCTCAAAAGCTTTTGTTGATCACAATCAGGAAAAGCTTTGAAATGGGTTGGTGCATCATCCATTGAAATCTCTAAATCTTTATTAAACGCTTTTGGTAAATGTTTGATTTTTCCAGAATATCAGCAGCATACAATTTTCCAAATCAATAAGAACCCATAATTTTTCCTTCTCCTATAAAATCATGTTTTTGTAGATAGCTACATTTGCCTTTGGGCCATCGATATGTGAATGGAAAAGAAGATATTATCGAATAATATGAAGGGTGACCGTTTTTTCTTTTACCCAGGGTATTATGTAATAAGTTGTCATCCTTTGAGGGGATGATAGTTTACGCCAAAGTAAGCGTTCCTCCTCTATAACTTTTGTATTAGTGATAACGTTTGTAAATAAAACAAATCATGAAAATTAACCTAATTCTTAGGCAATTGATGGGAAGCCACTGGTCTTGTTTCCCAAGTAGTATTATAGTTACGAAAACTATATCGCAACTTCAAATGAGTTGGCAATTACGTTAAAATAACTAAATCTACCACAATAACTTTATGTTACATTAGCATAGTGGTAATCATGTGAGTTGCACCAGCAGAATATACTTCATAGTCTTTTAACTTTTTGGTTTATCAGTCTGGTATCTCAAACATTATGACCACTTTTGACACCACCTTAAATTTATCTAAGTTGATTATGAATAGTAAAGGCAACCAAACTACATCACTTCAAGTGTTAGTAGTAGTAAAGTGGGTATACTAGTTTTGGCAACGTTTTCGGAACTTTTTCCAAACCTTGAAAGTGGCAAAACTTGATCATATACACGTTTTTGTTACATGCTTAAGTGATTTTCATTACCACATATTTCAACAAGGCATGCTTATATTTCGTTTGACATTACAATTTTATTCTTGTTAATTTTTTGTCTTTCGATTATTTTAATTTTAGTTATTATTTGAAAGTTGTATTCTTACATTATAATAACTTTAGTATTAAGTGTCAGTGTAATGTCCAATTCAGAGATAGTGAGATAAATAACACAGTGCAACAGCAAAACAAATAATGGGGTTCTGAAAGTGGTTTTCGTTTCTCCTATCCAAAGAATGCCTTTTTGCGTTTACAGAATGTTTAGATTGATTCAGGTTTTTTTTTAATATCGATTTTAAGTTTTATTAATTTTGGAACCCGAAAACCCGTTATTTATTAATTTAAACCAATTAACTGGTAGTAAATTGTTGTCATAACAATAAATTAAAAAGAAATAATAAAAAATAAAACAAAAATTAAAAATGGGTGTAAACATGTCACTAAAAGTACATTTGCTCCATGCACATCTTGACCTGTTTGAAAATCAGCTGTCCACCGAATCAGAAGAGCATCAAACAATACTGGAAATGGAAAATTGTTATACAGGAAAGAGGTTTGATTCGATATTTTGTTGGTTTTTGGCAATGGAAATTTTTTTGGTCTATGGTAATGGAAATTTTAGCATAAAATTATAAATAAAATTTGTTATATCTTTTATGTTGATTCATTCTATTTGTTAAAAAGAATATGTTTTTAATAACACAGTGCAACAGTGCAAAAGGGAATGGGATGAAACCAAAAGCAAATGAAAGGTAATAGCTTCTACAAAAAAACCCTATGAGGTTTTTTTTAGATCACGTCTAATAATAGGAAAAAAATAAGTAAAACAATTTTAATTTTTTTAAATTATTCTGGCAATATAGTCGAGGAATCCATTCCAAGTAAAGAGCATTTTAACTAGAAAATTGGGCATTTTTATAAAAAAAATATTCTCTTTAATGCTTTAATCAAAACACAATACTTGTATACAAAAACTACATTTACGATGGTATTTTTGCAAAAGGGCGAATATGCCATTTTCCTGTTTTGATAACCAAAAAACAAAAAAAAGTATTTCGGCGTATTCGCCCTTTTGAAAAAATATTATTACTACAAAAAATTGCAGTTTTTGTAGCAAAAACGAGGTTGTTTAAAGGTAAAATTGATTTGTTTACTTAAAAACACATAATATTATGTTTTATATAGTAAATCAGTGACAGCAACATAAAACGTTTTTCTTAATTAATATATTTAATTAAATTATTTTTTATTAAAAGGACAGTATAATATAAAACAAAACTTAGTTCCAAAATATAAAAATGTAAAAAATTGTACCTACAATATTACGGTATATAATTGAATATGTTGAAAAGTTTGCAGAACTTGTAATAACAATTTAATTAAATGATCGCAAAAGAAAAAGAAGTCAATGAAATTTGGTGTTCCAATGTTGTGGTATAATTCAGGTATTTTTTTATTTTTATACTAAAACATGGTATTTTTGATTATATTAATTATATTTTGCATTTTTATCAATTTTTGGATGAACAGCTGGAACTTCTGGTACTTAAACTCGTGTTACTGCCGGTTACAGCAGTGATAGTTAATAAAAATAAAATAGCAAATTTAATAAGGTTTAGTTAAGAAGTAAAAATGCTATTTTTTCTTAAAAAAACAAGTTTTCTATACTAATAAATCCAAAATATTAAAAATTGCTTTCGAATATCACCTAGGGTATATTTTACAACAAACGGATGACAAAAATGGATTTCTTACTTTCAAAAATAGTAAAAATTAGTAACAATTTTTTGATAGCGTCCTTTTCTGAGGGTCTTTGGTAAAAATTAACATCACAAATGGATTCCTCGATCAAATTAACAAAATTATTTTGAATAATTAACATAGTTTTACTTATGTTTTTCCTATAGGGTGTCAAAAAATTTACCATCTTTAAATGCGTACAAAAAAAAACTGAGACGTGATATAAAAAAACCCTGATAGGGTTTTCTTGTGGAAAGTATTAACTTTCATTTGCTTTTGGTTTTATTCCATTCCGTTTCGCAAACCTTAATTTTGTATGACAGTGTAATTAATATAATAATAATACTAATACTATTTACCATAATTATTATCATGGTCGAAGCGAAAGAACTAAAAAATTGCACTACAACATATTAAATCCAGAAAAAGGTTCAATTTTTTAAAAAAATTGCATTTTATTGTTCTCATTATTTTTTTATTTAATTATTTTTTTCTTTATTTGATCATTATTACTTTATAAAACAATATACAAAATCAATAATTATCTTTTATGTACAAATTATTTATTATTTTACAATATTCCGGGATCCAGAATTACTAAAACTTTAAATTGATATTAAAAAAACAGAATCAGTCTAAACATTCTGTAAACGCTATAATTCATGATTTTGATTGTAGAAACCGAAAATACTTTCAGAACCCCAACATCTTAATTTTTTTCCTAAAATATTGCACAGTGTAATATGCTAGAATGGTAGTAAAGTTTTGCTAAAGTTTTGGCTACTATACCTCCACATCATAGTAACGTAATAACAACGTAACGTAACTGACACTAAAAAAAGTGTTCCCCACGTAATAAAAGCGTTTTTACCACGTGGCAGAGATTTTGGCAATAAACTTTACAGTTCCAAGTGTAAGTGGCCAAAACGTTTTATCCACTAAAAATGCTACTTGTCGCAACTTTTACAGCTGTCGACTATCAAAGTATGGCCGACTCTACTAAGTCCAGTGTCGTGCCAAAAAAATGCCTGATAATT